GGATATCGATACGAATGTTAGCTATCTGCGAACATAATTAGATTATAATAAGATTTAGCGGCATCTTTGATGTAATGGTATATAAGCCGAGATTAACTATTGCATCGACGTATTAACTTCTCAAGGCTCGAGTGGAACGTAGGAAATCATCCGGGAGCTGGTTATTCGTTTTAAAAATGTCTAGTTTGCGGAAAATTATTGATTCGTGTTTGCGATTGGCGTGTAGCTTAAACGGGCTATGCATCGATAATTATTTATCATCGTTATCCGACAACGACGATAATAATTATGCGGTATTCGCAAAGTTTGCGGGTGCGTGCCCTAGTGCGGTGCTCGCGGTTTTATTCCGTTTGGGGCATTTCTCGATTTATCTCCAGCTTTTAATTATTGCTGGCGAAATAATCGAGACAAGACGAGTGTTTAACGACAACGAGGAAGAGAATGCGGGAGGCTATATCACCAGGCTGTCGAATTGCTATCATGGTGCGGTAAAAAATGGTAAGTTTCTATTTTTTTGTATTATGAATATTAAAACAAAGTTTTAAAAATTAAAATTATTTTTTTTTAGGAACGCTACAACATCCAACACCTAAAAAAACCATGGTGGTGGAGGGTGTGGTGCGTGGTACGCGTCAAAACCGTGACGAGCGAGCTACTCGACGTCTCGGGGTAAGACGTCGAGCAGATACCTCGCCTGAGGCCGGACCCTCGTGTAAGTTGCTGTATACATTATTTATATGAAATAACAGCATCGATTTTATATTAGGAAATTTTACAAAAAAAATTTAATGTTTCAGCTCGTGCTCGAATTGTTCTAACGCCTGAGCTCGTCGATCTCGCGAGCGACGAAGCTGGACCCTCGTGTAAGTCGCTGTATAATTTATTTATACGAAATAAAATAACACCATCGATTTTATATATTAGGAAATTTTACAAAAAAAAAAATTTAATAGTTTACAGCTCGCGCTCGAATTGTTCTAACGCCTGAGCTCGTCGATCTCGCGAGCGACGAATCGACGAGCTCACTTCG